TCCCTATCACTTGGAGAAAGAAGTTATCATAAATGCCTTCCAGGAACTTCCTGTCTTGTTAAGTTCTACAGTGTTCTTATCACTGTTACTCTGCAGGTAATACTATCTAAATCTGTGCTGTATATTGAACTTGTTATGCAATATGTTTAACTCTGATGACATGAACTGACTTCCATGGCTTTGGCAGTCCTTTGTGCAGGATCCACAGAACTACCCAAGATTCCTTTTGCCATGCCATCTGAGGATCTCTTTGTGTGTAGAGACTGAACTTGGGACTGGACCCTTTCTATTAGTTTTATAATGTGTGCTGTAAGATAAGATTCCTGTTTCATTTTTAGCCATCAGAAACATGAGATAGCTTGCAAATAATACAGAAAAAAGTGGGAAAAACGTTCAGGAAAAAGAAAGATTATTTTTCTGGAATATGAAATAAAGTAACCTCCAAAGTACTTACAGATTTACTACATCCTGTAGAATTGTCTGTTGGATATATAAAATAATACTGTGACAGGCTGGTTTTGGTAGTAGTAGCCTGAGGACTCTTCTTGGAAAATTGTTATTTTTTTCTCAGAAATCTTCAATTATGATTCAAATAACTCTTTACCTAACACCAAATACATTCAAATTCCCAACTAAACACACTGAAAACAAATAAAAATAAAAATAAATAGAAATAAATAAGAGTGTTAAGTAGGACTTTGCAACCAGGCAAAAGAATAGATCAGCATCATGAGAAGAAAACATTTCAGGATCTCAGCAGGCAACATCCTTGAGCTTAGACAGTGCCACACAGGCAAATCTAAGCTACGCTGGGTTAGCTGTCATGACATCCTGCATTGCCACAGAAATCTGCTGGGGTGCAATGTCTCAAGGAACACAGACAGAATTGATTAGTCAACAATGCCTACTGTCCATTTCAAAACCTTTTGCTTTCTAGAGAAAATAACTCTGGTTTTACAAAATTTGGCTTTCTTTTTCTGTCATTTATTAGAATATAATTAAGTTAGAAAGTTTTCTCTGATTATTTACCAAGAATGGCTACAACACACATTTCTTTTAACAGCTACATACATTATGTTTGCCCAGTGCGCAGCATGATTTCAGGACCAAACTCTAATTAAAAGTACTTAGCAGAAACTTACTTTTTCTGGGCCAGTAAGAACAAGACTTTCTGTTTTGCAACAGCTTCCCTAGCAGTTATTTTCACAATGCCAAAGATGGGATACAGTAGTGTCTGTCTGTTCAGTGTCAGTCTGCAAGTTAACTTTCTGAAAGAACAATTAGTTGTCCATTTAAGATGTTTTGAGCTCGACTAATAGAAACCTGGGCACGTAAAAGGCATTTGTCAGTTCTAAAATAATTTCCTTTATCTGATTTTAGGCAGAAAACTTGAATGTATAGAATAATATCAGAAGAATTATTTTCAATTCCAATGAAAATTTTAACTTTCAACTCTATAGCATTTTTTTCCAAAATATCACAGAATGTCTGTCTTGAATGAGAAAATAGGTTTAGCCCTACCAGAGGCCGAGATTAGATCTGACGACTTGGTTAGAATCCTAAATACCCAGTCTATTTCTGTACACTTATATCATGTTTTCCCTTACCACCTCTGCTCAGAGCCAAAATACAAACCCTGCCGCATGTGGACACTTGGTCACGTGTTGGCATGCCAACCTCTCAAACAAATGCCAGTGAATGAGGAATTGCTTCTTTCCACAGTGGGGAAAAAAAACTGTGTTATGGAAACATTGACGCTTCACAAATGAGAAAAATAATGTGTCTTCAATGAATTCAGTCGTAAGGAGGAGAAAAGGTCCATGCAATAGTAAATATTTCTCATATTATTGTGTTAAGTTGCAAGATAATATTTAAGTACTGTCTGCCAGAGTAAAAGAGGAATGCCATACTGTTGCATGGCTGCCTAGTTTTCATAAATAGGCTGTTTCTAAAGTACCGTAACTACAACTGCCATGGTTCTCACAGAAACTAAGTTGTCCTGCTATGTTTATGTCTTTCATATCTTCCTTAAACTAAACATTTTCTATTTATGTGAGCTAGTGTCACACTTTCGGAGACAGACCAGTGACAAAACACACTGACTCCATGCAGCAGCAGTTCACTTTATTCAGATCTCGCTCCTTTATATACCTCAGGAGCCCAGAGGTCAATCCTCATTGGCTGAGCCAGTTCCTTCCTCATCAACCAGCCAATAGAAGCCTGAGTTTCCAACAGCCTGGGCCTGCTCTTACTGGCCGAATTATATAAGTAAGGTAATGATGTAACTGATTACATATTTCCCTTATAATTTTATAATTATTTATACTTTGAGGCCTGCAGGCCAGCTGTAGGCCACCACAAGCTTTGGGTTTATGTCATGCAGGAGATGTAATCCAGGCTCTAATTATGTCTAGACTTAGTTCAAATGCTCACAACAGGTTTCCTTGGAAATATGAAGAGGATCCCGCAGAGAGCCAGTCGAGTAACGACAATCACACCGCTACGGTTACATATCGTTCTCCCTTTATTGCCTGAACAATGCTCTGTTTATACACATTTCCCTTGCGCATGTGGCAGCCAACTATCTACGATTGGTTGCACAGCCTCGATCACACGTCTGCTACTCTATTTCATTGGTAAACGTCAAGGCACTGCATGATTGGGTACAGCCCTTTTTGTGGTTAATGCATCCGCTCTAACATCCATCTTAGCTCTTGCAACAGTGCAACATTTCCTCTTTCTGGGCCTTCAAGGTGACCCCAAGGAAATCAGTCCTTTGTTAGGTTAAGGCTGGCTTGTCCAATCCCTCTAGGGGCAACCCATGCCCTTGATCAATGAGGAATTCCTCTACAGAAATAGATGACAAGAATATACTAATATACATGTACTATCTTGTTCATTGTCCTCCATGCTTTGTATCTTTAGTGCAAAATTGTACTGAAGTTTCTTGCAGAACTAGGATCAATTCTCACCAGTATTTTGCCAGGGAAAAGAAGTCATGTAAGTTTATACTCATGGAAAATTGATATCCTCAAAAATCTCACTGTTCACTTTGGGACTAAAGTTTTCACAGAAATCAGTACCAAACAATTGCCCTGTATGGATATCAAATATCATTTGAACTCTAAATTATATATGCAGTATAAAACCACTCAGTTTCTTTCTGTCCCTACACATAAATCTGAAATAGTCCTTGAAGTAAAAATAGCAAAGTGACTAGTGCCCACAAGAAAATACATGACCTGAGTACATTGATGAAAATCTTGTCTAAGTGCACTGTCAACCCCAGACTGCCCATGACCAAGCAGATCCCACAGGACATGATGGTATTTAGCTTCTTGCAATTTTCTTTTTACTCTCCCAATTCTTAGGGTAACTCTTACCCTAATTCTAATGCCACTATCTACCCTAATATAAAGCACAGGATACTGGCTCTCAACACAGTGCTGAACACTGCCCAAGGTCAGTGAGAGCTGGGACTGAGGATTTAGTGCCCACCTGAGACTCACAGCCTTCCACACTCAGGACAACCCCATTCCAATTGCTAAACCCCTTGACACAGGGGTTCACAAAAAAGCATGCCTTCAGTGCCATCCAAGTCCAGCCCTTACTCCAGCTATACCTACTGTTGTCTCTTCACAGCTGGACAGAGCTCTCCTATCCCTCAATAATATCCCCTGTGCCAAATGGGAATTTTCTGTGCAGCTGACTGAAAAATGACTTTCCTAAAGGATAAGGCACTAGGTCTTCCATTCAGACACCATCACCCTCTTCTCCAAACCAACCCTCTTCCCAACTCTACTCAGAGATCCAGAGAGGTGTGGGTGTTGGCCTTCATGGATGCCAACCCTCACAACATCCCATGGACCATTCCTAAGTTAGCACAAAGAGGGACAACAGCTATGCCTGTTTTAAATTGTTTAAATTGTTTTAAAGAGGCAGTCATGCCATCTTAGACTCATTCTTTTGTGATTATTTCCTCAGACTATTTCTTCTTCTAAAAAATCTTCAGCTTCTGCTTATTTTGGATACCACTTTACAGTGAGAGATGCCTTCACTGATTTGGATCTTCAGATTTGATGTCTGCAGTCAGCAGCAAATGGTATCTGTGTAGTGCTCCCTCCAGATACTGACTAACTGGGCAGAAAGCTGTCAGTCTTGATCTGGGAGCTAACACAAAGTCCAGGCTGGAGAGTGAAAAACCTTCAAAGAATTTTGTTTAGCTTAGAGCTAGCAACTTGCTACAGAACACATAATTTAAGCAATTCCTTGAAGGGCCTTAGGGACATTTTCCATGAAATTTTCCTGTCTGGAGTGAAGCAGGGGCCTGTATCTGATGCTCTGCTGAGTACCCAGTTTCAGAATTTAGGCTAATGTAGATAACACAGTTACACCTGTAAAACATCTAGGGAGTTTCTAAACATATATATGTCACTGAGTCATGGAAAAACACTGTTCATCCTCATAGCTAGAGCATCTATCCAAAATCTGAAGGAATAAGGAAAACAAAGATGCTTTGACCAGAACAAAAACCAGAAGGCTTGTTTGCCCTGCTAGGAATAAAGTGTACAGCAACTTACAACCCATGTCTCATCTTTTGACTAGTCTTGAGTATGGATATTAAGTCCACTTTTCCTACCCCTCTCCAATACCAAAAAACCCAGCAAGATCATCCCTCCTCAGCCATTAGCTATGAGGTGCTTTAGCATAATAGCAACAGCTAATCACAGTCCTATATATGGTGGTATGAATGCTAAAAAGGCCTTGATAGGACCTCTCTGTGGGACACCCATCCCAGGAGACTACACTGTATGGACACGGGTAGGATGGCTCAGTGAAGCTACCTAACATGTCATACATGTCTGGGAAGCTCACAAGTGGTCTGACAGAACAAGGTGGCCCCTACAACTAACTAAAATAGTAGGAGGCTCTTTTCATTGAGATCCTGCATAAAGCAGCATTCAATCAATTAAAAATTTCCATGCAGAGCACCATCTTACCTTTCTAATGTTTTCTTACTACATCTGGAGAAGAGACAGGCAGTTCCAAGGTTAAGTGTCCCTCGCTTCTCTCCTGATCACAGAGTGCACTCAGATGTTGGTCCTCATACAGGGGAATTATCAGTTTCTCCTCCTTTCCTCCACGCAGGTTGCTGGCACCAGATCTCCCTGATGGTCTCTCTCAGTTCAGATATTCCATGTTTCCTCTACCAGTCCATGAGCAATTATGGACATGACATTGGCAGAGCACTTTTAAAACAGAAGTATTGCTTATTTTATCCAGAAAGAACAAAGCACACAGAGAAAAGTATTTCAAAACAAGAATATGAATGTCTGGTTTATTTTTTCTTGCTAAAAACTGGTCATTGACTTCCTGAAGTTACACAGACATAAGAAAAAAAAATTCAACTCATAGAATTAATCTATGCATAATGTAGGAAACAGAACAAAGGGCAAATCAGACATTAAAAAAAAATACTTCCCTAGAAGTCTTTAGAAATTATTGAAAAATTAAAATAGGAACCTTAAACCTGACTTTTTCCTTTCAGTGTGACTTTGCTATCTTCAATCTTACAGAGAGAGGTTTGATCCAGTTCCCACTTAAAACTACAGCTGAAATGACTGGAAACATATAACTGAATGCAGTGGGCATTGGATTAGGACTTCATTCACAGTCATTCACACACTATCCAGTAACCGGAAATAACACATGTACAACTTCCCTCTGGCTGAGAAGTTAACCCATCACTTCAAGGATGTCCCAGCAATCCCCTCTAGTATCTCACACTGCAGTAGCTATGCATAGTACTTAATATGTGCAGCTGGCAATAAGATTTCCCACCAGCCTGCTGAATCATCCATTTAACTCATACAACTCATGAGTTACTAACTGAACTCTGAGTACAGAAAACTACAGCCAGCTCTTCAGCAATGCAGTAATTAGTGAGCAAACCAAGCCTGTCCTTTCCCGTAAACAACCTCTCCCTAATGTATTTTCAGACACAGCTGTCCCATGTCCAAATACTTTAAAAACCATTTGAAAATCTGGGTTGCACCCTACTAAGACAGCCCAGTTTCCCAGTCATGACACAGAACAGACCTGTTCTGCAAGCACAAAGGCTTTCTTTTAGGACAAATCAAGGTTATGTACAAATACAAACAGCAGTTGGGATCAGACAGTCCATACTCTTCTACTAGAACAGGGAAACACATCCTTTTGACCATGCAAACAGTAAAAAGTGTATCAGCCTAAAATTAGATTTTAAAAAATGCAAATGTTAATAAATTTCTTAATAAAAAAAAATAAGAAGAAGGCAATTGCATATCTCAATGCTAGTTGTGTTGCTCAATGCAGTTCTGGAAAACATGTTCATTAAAATGAAAAGAGTGAGATAGGACAGGACCAGACAGGGTCCCTTTCCAAAGGGAGCTGTCCATAAAATAATTCAACTGATGTGATTACAGGGGAATTGTTAGGGGATATTTACATTGAGGAAAGCAATGCTATTCTGGCTCTGGTCTGGGTCCTCTTCAGCATTTCCCAGCATCCAGCACACTCAGGCAATATCTGTGTCATAGGGCATACCCAGTGTCATGCTACTGCCTTTTTGGTCCCTTATCAAGATGACACGGGACACTTAAAATACCACCCTCAGACAACTGTGGTAACTGGCACGCTGACTCAGGACAACTGTGAGATGCTCTTAAGGAGAGCTAAAAGGTCATTTGCACAGCTCATGCACTTAAAATGTTAGCTGCTACGTGGTGCTGTAATGCCAGCAACAGTGACGTTAAGGCATTTGCCATATCCTGCAAGGTGATCAATACCAGTACAAATTTCATAAAGCTGCCAGAAGCCTAGATTATGTTAACACAAACAGCAAACAAAGAACAGCCAGAAAAGATACTGAGAAGTAGGAAAGATAGCAAGGTACACAGCCCTTATGACTGCCCTGAGAAAAGAATCAGAACAAACAGCTTTGGATGATCTGCACATGTACATCTATTCCTTTGAAATGCTGCGATACGTTTCTTTACCACAGAGGGGGAAGTTAATGGAAGAGGTAGTGAATGGACGGAAATAACATGAAGTGATTTATGTTCAGGTGAGAGTGGGGACTCACAACTCCCTCGAGCAGTTGCATTTAGTCTCTAAAGTATATAAATTACACACTTGGGAAACTGCAAGTTGCAGGCTGTAGCCTTGTTTTATTTGGCTGTCCTGACTTTAACTGGGGTTCAATAGATCCAATTTTTCAATTTCAGACCATTAGAGAGAAGGAAAGGAGGTTGTAATTTTTTTGTCTTTACTACCTTGTGATCTTTTCAGCACATAAAGGTCACCTACAGCAGATGTCAATAATCACACTCTTTACAGTTTCCTTAAAGTTCATAATTTTACAGAACTATTTCACAGGTTACTAAACCAAACCAAATTACTTCTCAGCAAGAGTGAATTGGTGCCTTTCCTATATAATTTTATGAGTTCCCTCTGGGTCTTCTCCAGTCCAAGGATTTGAGCATTTGGCACGAGATTTGAAACATGAACTGACTGTAAAGGACCAGAATTATCTGGATGTTTCAAAAGCACAATATCAGATATTTTTCTCCAGGAATGGTTAAACAGAGACACCCTTTTTATTTGAAAGAGAAAATTATTGGAGTCAAAATGCTCTTTGAGTGACTTCAGATGGAGATTTATCCCATGTTTTCAACAGTACAGTTTAATTCAGCATGTTGGTCAGGCCTACCACCTAATTTCTCAAGGTGCTATAACTCTGTTCAGAGTTCATAACTCTGACTGAAATCTCTCAGACCTGCAAGGTCTTGCAGCCTTTATTTAGCAGCAAGAAGTGCTCACACAAAACTAGAGACTGCTTCTCAAATGCAGTCCAACATTTTTTTGAGTCTTTCTCATGGAAAGGGCAAATAATACCATATCAACTTACTGTATTTCACAAAAATAGGGGAAATTTAATGAAGGTTTGACTAAGGGGGAATGTGATAAAATGTCTTTATTTGTTCAATTTTACTAAATTGCTGGTTTTTCCTCCAAGGCCTTGAAGAAGGTAATTTTCAGCAAAAATTACATCCTAACTAGGATTCTTGGCATTGATTTGATTTGACTTCTTTTAACTGAAATGCTTAGAATTTAAAAACTGTTTCCATACATGAGAGGTGATAAGCATGTACATCATTCGATGTGCATGCTGTAAGCCCAAAATACCAATAAACACAGATACACTCATTTGCTTCAGCATGGCATCACTCCCGTGCAATATCCCTTGCAGTATCTTACACCAATTAAATCCCACATTGCTTCTTTAATAATATTCTTATCTCTCTTTACTCAGCTTCAGCATATAAGCAGCTGCAAATAAGGAACTGGTTTTCAGGATTCCATGTAGCATATCTGGAACAAAAAAGCAGAAGGAAAACTGTCCAATACCCAACGCAGGGGAAAGCACTGCCCTGCCTCTCAGCACCTGCTGAAAGCTAGCAAGGGCTGTTGTGGTGATTACCAAGTTTCCTCTTGTCTAGAGTATCTTCAAGGTTGTTTACCTTGGATTTATCTCTTGATCTGAATATTGAAATTTCAAAACATTTCTCCAATACTGTTGAAACAGAGAATAAGGAGCTTGTATTTCTTCCTGGGAATGAGGAAATGCCCAAATATTCAACTTTACTTAAATACATATTTATTATGAGTATCCACAAAATGGAAGGCTTAACAACTCTCACGTCAACAGTAGTTGTGTGAGTTTGCAAGAAGAAATTACACTGCTTCTTATAAGCTGTAAAAGGATATCTTACACATTTTAGTGAATCTGGTTTTCAGCAGTGAAAATATGTCTTAATATATTTTTTCAAACTTTTAAATTCAATTAGTTTCACAACAGACAAAGATATTTTTCATCTCTGTTTCAGACTGTGTCCTCCAGTGAGTATGTTAAAATATTTTCTTTCAAAGGGGGCTTTTTGAAACCAATGCCTGCAAACTAACTGCTGATTATTTGTACCCAGATATTATGCCCCAGATAACAGGGAATTGAGACTTGTATTTGCACATATTCTAAACTTTTAAATAGGTAAATATTTCAGTAATTTCTTCCTTCAGTATTTTTTGATATCTAGGGGTCTTTTCCCATATAAAACCAAAATGTATGTTCACGAATGCCTGCATATAAATGTAACTACCAGAGTAAATTTAGAATATTGGTGTAATTTCAGTAAATGAAACAAAGACATGAAACTAGTGTGGGTTTTTATGTCACTTTAGGTAGACAGAAATCTTGGAAATCAAGTACCACCATAGTTCTGATGATTTTGTTATTTTCATTTCAGTGACTATTAGATAAGGACTAAATTGAAAATTGAGTTTGAAAATACCAAAGTGGATAGAGTAATAAATAATATTAAAGAATTACAATAACAAGAAAACATGCTTAATGCTGCATAGCAGAACTGCAGATTTTGCCTAATATACCAAGAGATTTTGCCACAATAAATTGAGAGAGTGAGAGTTCCCTTGCTTCAACTCTTGTCAATGTTCCAGCAATGTTGTATTGACAATTTACCCATTATCTGTTAGTTATGACATAAAAATATTTTGCACTTCCTCAGACCCAAAGGCAAAACATTTTAATTGTGCAGTGCAACATTTTAAATTGTACTGTCTCTTTATCAAGAATATTTTAATACACAAGCTACATTTTCATATTTAATTGCAGTTATCACACCTTAGCCTGGGGCTATACATTTAATCAAGTAAGAAAACTCCCACAGACCTACTGTGTAGACAACCCCTGTAGAGTATGTTATGGAAACTCAGTCTTTATGAGAACAACTGATTAGTATCTGTGAATTCACACTTCAGGGATAGTAGTCAGGATGTTGCAAACAAAAAACAAACTTCCCTTGAGTAATCCTAAGCACTAAGGAGAGTGCTTAGGAATTCAAGAGATACCATGAGCCTTTTGAAAGAGTGGCCAGGTAACACCATAGAGAGCCCTTTTCTAGATGATGTCTTGGCTTACTATTTCCTAGACTAAACTTCTCATTCAAGTTCAGATGATGTGGACACTAAAATGCAAATCTGATGAAGGAAATGCTGAGAGGGAACAACTGGGAATGGTTGCTAATATCACCCTCAGACAACATAACCTGGAGTAAGTTTCAGGCTCCAGTTTGGAGCCGAAACTCAAGCCACCACATCCACTTTACCAACGGTCCTGCTACAGTCAACAGTATCAAGCACATCTGATAGAAAACTTAGCAAAAACATTTGCTCTTCACCCAGAGTAATCTACTCTGAAAAAAAACCCCACTATGTGTACCAGTTCAAAGCCCCTGACCCATGTAAGGGTTACAGGTGAAGCTAGAACTTCTTCTTCTCAGGGTGAGGTGTCAAATGTCTAATCCAAAGCTTTTAATTTGAAATATCCTGTTCCACTAACCCCATTTCCATATTCCTACAGAAAAACCATAACTGTTCAGATGAAACATATTTAGACCTTAAAAGATGTATTCTTTTGGTAACATTAACTTTTTCCCTGACTTTTCATAAGATGTCCACTTTTTCCCAGCTGATTTTCTCTAGAGCAGGGCTGTTCACAGTAAAGGCAGCCATGGCCCAAAGTGGCACCTGACCTGATGATACCTTTCCTCTTTATTTTCCTCTGCATCTGCAGCTCTCATGGAGGATGCCACATGCTTTTCCACAAGAACTGCTATGGTAGTCAGCTGAGGCCGGAAAAGGACATTATTTTGTGTCTAGCTATGTACTTTAGATCAGTGCCAGCCCACTCTGAAAGCCTACCTTTATTTCCTCTGCAATGGTGTACTTGGCTGAAGATTACTATTCCCCTACTTAGTAAGCAGCCTCCTGAATGGTGACAAGCATTTCAAGATAAACACTTTTGAGCCCTACTTTTATCACAGTTTGAGTCCTAGCTTTATTTCCTGAATTGTACAGCTATACTCCAAAACAGTTTTTTCCCCTTGGCTATCTCTACACTCCTAGTTTAAACACCCACAGTTAATCTCGTGCAAGTCTCTAGCTATTTTTTGGAAAAGCAATTTTGAAACCAGCAATCCAGTTTCATTTTCCATGATTTTAAAGGAGGTAACAGATAATTTCAGACATGGGTAACAAAGGCAGGGAATGAGGAAAAAGGGTGTCTCCTGTTCAGGGCTGCTGAGTTGCCATGTTTACAGCTCCAAGCAGGCTGCTGACCAGCCACAGCTCCATCTGTAAAATGATCCAGCTACTGTACTCTTGACTTTTGCAAGTTATGAGCAGCCACAGGAGATTGTGTAAGTGCTGGAGCAGCTGCAGAACCTTTCCCTCACTGAACTACTGAGGAGGCATGCCAGCTTGTTTGTGTGCTCCTCCACAACCTTTCACCTACTTTGGCTGTTTTGGCTGTACTGGGAACCCCTAGCAGCTTGACAGCTTGTGCAGCCGCAGTGTCCGGTGACAGAAAGATGAGAACGGGAAGATATGACCCTTGTTTGTAATGCTATTTCTGTCTTTTTTTCCATGTAAAGGGCCACATAAATATTTAGAAAACAAATATATTAGTAGGTTAAAGTATCAAACCAATTCCATAAATGCAGACCCATCTGTAGGCGGAGGGCAAGTGATTTGCCCTTGGTACTGCTGGAAATTTCATGAGGTGCTGTGAATATAACTCACGCACTTGTCACCAGACTGCTCTGCTGGGTTAGGAAAAAGATCCTTACATTTTTGTCTGTCCCAACAGAGAAAAAGGAAGGGCAAAAGCAACCATGATACCTTCTATTAGACTTCAGCAACATGGTCAGTTACTACACAGGCTGCCTGACCAGGAACACGGCTCTGACCTCAGTACAGCACGTTGTGTCTCTGGCTGGGGTGAGGACAAGAAGCATGAGGTGAGAGACAGCTGATTGCAATGGAGAGCTATTAGGAGACAAATGGACAGGAATCCAGGCTTCATTCATTCCACTCTTCTGGACCCATCTGTTGTGGAAAAAAGCAGAATGTTAATGCAGCTCCATTTTCTTAAGCACAGTCAGCAAAACATTACTGTGACCAAGCAACTGCAAGTGTTGTTACTGCCTTTTCAAAACTTGCCCCAGGGCAATTCAGAAGAGGAAAGTTAAAATATCTAAATAGCAGAAATGAGACCCTCTCTGATGAATACTCCAGTTCAGAATTTGGCATTGTCCTTCATAGCCATTGTTCTCTGCCACCTGCACTTATAACTGTCACGTGTTTCAGAAGGAGGGCGAGATGGTGGTTGGAGAGGAAATAAAGTGAGAACACTTCTAAAGATAGGAGAGATGGAGGCATTATATGACGTGGTTACAATTTTCACAGCCTAGCTCACCTGCATCTTGGCTGATGGTGAATCCTCATATATTGTTGCATTTGTGCCTAAAACTGAGCTGTCTTGCTCAACATTCAGAAGATCCATAAGAATTACTTCACAGATATATAGTTAAGATGTGCAAGAATATAAATTAATGTTGTTCAGAACGACCTGTAACATATAACCATCATACAAAGAGCAAGAAGCAAATCTGAATTATGAAGACATGCTTCTTTTAGAAGATCATCTGAATTAAAAAAACCTCAGTTGTTGTGCTGCTGATGTGTAAAATTCTTTGTAGAAGTTTGTTTTGATTTGAAAAACACCCAGGATTTGAGTTACTGGAGCCTTGTCCTTTTAACAAATGGGGAAGGCAATACACTTCCTGTATTTCCTGCAACTACAATTTTACCTTTGTTCACAGCTAAATTGAGTATGTAAGATATTTGTTCATACCTTACTGCATATAACTACTAGGAAACCAATAAGAAAACAAGTTGCTGTAAAGAAAATTAATGCAAACAACAAAAATTGTCCTTAGTAGACTATTTCCCTATTCAGACTGCTCGCAAAGGATATTCCAGTTACTTATATTAAGCAGGCTCAGCACACCAACAGATTAAATAAAACATCTCATAGGAATAGAAATAATGACTTTATAAACTGCAATAACTGCCTACTTCAGAGAACTTCCTGACCCAGATTTTATTGCAAAGAGTTAATTGTGAGGTTCCTGCTTGTCACCGATTAGTAGCTTAAGGAAGAAAGTGGAACTAAACAAAAGCTATCCTGCACGTTTCATGGTTTAAACAAATTTGTATGATATTTTCATTTCTGTGACTCATCTGCAACTTGTAGTTAAACCAAGTTTAAACAGTCAAAAGCAAATCTCAAATTCTTACATTTTTAACTGCCGTAAAGAACAGGAAAAAAATCAAAGTCATTACATTTGCTGCTATTTGATGTCTAAATTTTGCTTCATTTCACATTTCATATGCCAACATTTGATCACTGTGGTAAGCCAGAATATATCTCATGGAAAAATAACAGAATAACTCTCCCAATAAAATAATAAAACAGGGAGCAATAAAATAATAAAACATAAAGTACAGCAGGAGTAGAGCCATAACTAGGGATAACAGATATACTAGGAAGACAAAAATGAGATAAAGTTAAAAAAAAACAGTCTAATGACAAGCTAAAGTATTTTTCTCTGTCTGTTAAAATATGTGCATAGCTTTCTTGTGAGGAATTTGATCTTCCTTCCCCTGAAAAGAGTTTACGTGTTTGTGTGTATAAATATGTGCATATAAAATTGGACTGGTGAGTTGTATGGAAATATTAGGGCATATTTTGCATTATTTTACTGCCACATGCTTCTGCTGTTACAGATCAAGTTTTTAGATGTCAGAAAGCCCTCCGCTGACATTAATTCCATTCTTCGGTGGCTTATGCAAACTCTGTCCTCAGTAAAGTGGACTGGGCATGCTGGGAAAAGGCCAGGCAGCACTGGAGATCCAAGCTCCTTCCCCAGCAAAGAGGAAAGGTGAGGGGGCTTTTCCCAGCTCGACTGTGGCCCTGGGAGATGAGCTGTCCCTGAGAGCCCTGTGTCAGCCCCTTCTTAGGTCAGCTCTAGGGACAGTAAATAAAGGCCACATGCTGATCGGGGGCCAGTGCGTCACCAGCACAGCTGTCCTCGGGTATTTGGCCACTATTAACCAGGTCACAGCCATGACCTACATGTCGTCAGCCCGCGGCTGGGACCTGATTTTGCTCCCTTTGCCTTCCACGCAGTCGGCCATGCTCTGCGCCGGCCCTGGAGCTACCGGTCAGTACCGGCAGTTCCAGCACCCCCTGTATGAGTGCAAACACACAACTGCCCCGGGCACCACCGCGCCCCTCATGCCGGGCCATGGCGCCGTGCACCGCTTCCCCCCGAGCCCCGGCACCCACGGGGTGTCTGTGCACAGCCCGCACAGGGCCGCAGCCTCCGCAGCCCGTGAGGGGCGGGAGCAGCACGGCGCCCTCGCAGCTGGGCACGGCCGCCCTGCCAGCCTCGCCCGGCCCCTGCCCCGTGCACAAGGTCACCGCGGGAGGCGCAGCAGCAGCACCCGCCGCTCTGTGTGCCTTGGCCCCGGGCTGTGTCCTGGCCCCGGGCTGTGTCCTGGCCCCGCGGCTGCCCCCCGGCTGCCCCCGTGCCGCTGGCACGGTGCCCGCCGGACCAGGACGGGCACGGGGAACGCCGCCAGCGCTGTCACGAGGGGCCCGGGAGGGGCGCGGCCTGGCGGAGCGCCGCCCCCCTGCGATTGTAAATAGAGGCGCCACGTGAGGCCGCCCGCCACAGGCGAGGGGACGGTGACAGTCCCGGAGCCCGCGGAGCACTCGCTCTCTCAGCGATCGCTTACCTGCCACGCACTCGCCGGCCCGGCAGCAATGAAGGCCGCCCGGATCGCCCTCCGCAACGCCGCCCCGCTGGCAGGGGCCAGTGCCGGCAGCAGCAGTGGCCGGTTGCCACAGGAGGTGGAGCAGTTTTCCCGCTTCTCCCCCTCCCCGCTCTCCATCAAGCAGTTGTTGGACTTCGGTGAGAATCGGGAGGAGCGGGGGGAAGTCAGGGCTGGGGGCCGCCCAGGCTCGGAGGCTCGTTTCCCCATGGAGGAGCGAGCCCGGGGGCTGCCGCGGGGAGGGTGCGGGAGCGGCGCTGTGCGGGACAGAGCAGGCGGCGATCCCCGCCCGGAGGGTCGCGCTCAGCCAGCGCTGAAGTCACTGCCGCCCCCCCGGCTCGGCTGCCCAGAGCCAGAGCGGAGGAGGGGAACGGGCCCGCTGGGAATCTTCCGGCCCCGGCGTGGCGGCGGTGGCGGAGTGGAGGAGGGGAACGGGCCCGCCGGGTATTCCCAGCCCCGCTGGGAATCTTCCGGCCCCGGCGTGGCGGCGGTGGCGGAGAGTTCGTCTCGGGCCGGCACCCCCGGCCGCAGTTACCCGCCGGCCAGGTGCCAGGGGCTGGAGACCTGTGGGTGTCGCCGTCAGAGCTGAAGATGCGCTACAACAACACTGCTTCGGCGGTGTTCGTAGGGCGCGGGCGCTGAGAGGGACGTGGGCTGCGGGGCGGGTTCTGCTCCGCGCACACGGAGGCGGGAGCAGCCACCAGGCGGAGCGAACGCGCAGTTCCCAGATGCCGTTATCGCTCCGGCGGCTCCGGCGGCTGTGCGCACATGATACGGTACCACCAGACGTCACCCCGAACAACCTCCTGTTTACAGGGCCCGGAGTGCTTCTTAGGGACTTGCGGTTAAGTCTCATGGCTAAATGGGAACTGTAAAAGTATTCCGTCCAGGAACACGCTGTGTCTTACTGTCACGTAAACAGCGTTCTGCATAAACATGTAACACCTAACACTTAGGTGAGCTGGCCGGTAAAAGCCTCATGATTGCAGAGAAACAGTCCTGAAATTTATGGGAAGTCAGCAATCTGTATGTCCATCTTGAAGCTTCCTCAAAAAAAACTGTATTTTGGATTTATTCATAGGCTCAACTAATGGATGTGAGAGAACTTCTTTTGCATTTTTGCGACAAGAACTTCCTGTGAGGTTTGCAAATATCTTGAAAGAAATTGATCTTCTTCCTGATAAATTACTAGGCACTCCATCAGTAAAATTAGTAAGAAGCTGGTAAGTATGAACTGCTTGAATTCAGCATGCAAAGTTACACAGCTTTGAGAACTTTGTTGTTACAGCCTTTTTTGAATAGTAAAAAGTATAAGAAAGTATAACAAGTATAAACAAAGTAGACAAGTATAATAAGTATATAACAAAGTATAACAAGTAGAAATGCAGTTCCTTCATCAAATCTGAGTTGCAAGCTGTTACACACTGTCCTTTTCTAGCACACTAAAATTAAATTGAAAATCAAAATATTGCTATCTTTAAATAGGTGTGGGGGGCGGGGAGTTAACAGTTTGAAATAGCTAATAGAGAAGGGAGAAAAGAAAACGTGTTCTGTTTCCACACAGCATTACAGACTCCGAGACCCACGCAAAATGGGAAAGCAGGCTATGTACTTGTTTTGATCTCTCACTGATGGAGTCACTAACACAGCTTCTATTCCAAAGTATATTGTCTTGACCTATGCAGCAAGTGTTTGAAATTCAATTAACATAATCTCTGCAGTTGACACAGTGGTGGAATCTGATTTAACCTTGTTTACTGGCACAGTTGCAGCATTTGCCAGGATGGCTGACATAAAGAGCAGAAGTATTAGAGTCAGGTCTAGAAACTCTTCTTAATATAGCAAACTGTTGTGCCTTTGCTGTATGCGTCAAGGCTGTCAGATGTTAGTGCAAGCAGCTCAGCTACTTAGCTTCTTAGCTTCTGCCAAAGCTGATCAGATTTGGAAAAATGTTGCTTAAGTGGCTTCCTGATTGGCATTGTCATTTGGATCTTCTTTTGAAATACATGTCTTCTAAAGAATTATAAGGGTATCCCACATACCTTAAGTGAGGGCTTAGATTTCTCTCTGGTGGCAGGCACAAGAAAAGACTTAAAACTTCTGGAGTTCAGGCAGTCAAGAAGTGTCCATCTGTTATTCTATTGTTGGTTATAACTTGGATATTTTAAAGATACTTAAAACTCCCAGATGACTTGTTAGGACTAATGATGTGCACAAGACAAAGTATTTTTGATATTGCTAGAATAATAAAAATCAAATTGATAGCATATATTTCTTGACTTCTTTTTCAATAGGTACATCCAAAGCCTAAAGGAGTTGATTGAATTTCATCAGAAAAGCCCAGATGACCAAAAAGTCTTATCTGAGTAAGCTTTTCATGTTTTTCTTTGAACTTTTTAGTTCTCCTTCTGCTTTTCACAGTATAGTCACTTTAGACTGACAGCCATGATGAGTTGAATTTGATAATCTAGCAGGAAGAGCTGAACATAGAACAAGCTGGTCAAAACCTCTGACCATGTTTAGCAATATTGCAAATAATTATGTCCTGTAGCAGCCTAATTTCAAGGTCATATTGCTCCCTGAACAGTCATGACAGAGATAGAAAAAAAAAAAAAATCTGTGTAGTCATATCTCTGCTTTTTTCCAAGATGTCAGCTTGGGATCTTTTTTCTTTCCTTTTCTTCTGCTCAAATAAATGAGTAAACAAGTGGTGAATTTGATATGGCTCATTATACCTTTTGTTTTAAAAATGCCAAATACTTCTGTGTTAGGTCAATGAGGAATTACTTTTAAAAGAGTTTAAAAAAAGAAACCATGCTGTATTTTAGTATTAAGGCTGTTAAGCACTTATCTGTGCTGGTGCTAGATTAGATAATTACATTATACAAAGCTTGCTTCTGTGGAGTCTGAGAATAATGTTCTAAAAAGATTTCTTTTTTTTAAACCTAGCTTTATAGATACTCTAATTAGAGTCCGAAACAGACATCATGATGTGGTTCCTACAATGGCACAAGGAGTAATTGAATACAAAGACACTTTTAAAGTAGATCCTGTGACCAATCAAAACATCCAGTATTTTTTGGATCGTTTTTACATGAGCCGTATTTCCACCCGGATGCTAATGAACCAACACAGTAAGTAGAAATTTTTACCTGAGGAAAAACTTCAATCTAATTAGTAACATGTTAATGTAAACATTTCTTAAAACTGCTGGAGAACTACTTTACATGATTTTGTGTGACACTGAAAAAGTTAGAAACTGAATCTATCACTTAAAGTAATGGGAAAACTTTAAGTGAGAGACTACAAAACAATTGAAATAACTCTTTTATGGAATATGTAGGGATATCATTCTTTATGTCTGAAAAGCCTTTAGATGTGAGCACAGAAAAGCCAACATTGTTTGCTGACAGTAGATAGCGTTTTAACTCATAAAAGGCATAAACAACATTCAGTATTTTATGTAATTATATGTTGCCATCGCACTGCATTAGTCTCAGTTTTGGGGCTTTTTTATAAAACAGTATTTGGGATTAAATGTTCTGTTGTTCTTATGTCAAACAGCTCTTCTTTTTGATGATAAATCTGGCTCGGGGCACCCAAGGCACATTGGAAGTATTGATCCTTGCTGTGATGTTGTCGAAGTAGTGAATGGTGCGTATTCTCAGGGCTTTAACATTTCTCTTCCTGATCAGTATCTATATCTGATTGCAAGCAGTTTGGGTAACCAGCTTCAGTTGTAGAGGATGCTGACTGGCTTTAATTGAAATAGCTGAAAGCAGTCTTATTGAGGCATGAGCTTTTAGAGGACAGAATTTAAAATACAAAGTAGCAGTAAAAAAACATGTTGGAGTAAATCCTAGCAAGTGACAGATGAGGTGGGAGTTGAAGTTGTCTGAGGTGTT